CATACATACATACATACATACATACATACATACATACATACATACATACATACATACATACATACATACATACATACATACATACATACATACATACATACATAAACATGAGTATTTTTTCACGTTTGCCCACTTACAAAAAATGCTTATTTTTCCTCATCAGATGGTTATCAATTTTTATTAATTCATAATATGTGATTTTCTAGAATTTTCTTTGGGATTCTGTCTTTCACTGTTAGAATGTACATACGATTAAAGTCATATATTGTTGCATTCTTTGCAAGTGGGCAAACCTGCAAAATCAGCAAGGGGTCAAATACTTATTTCCCCCACTGTACATACATACATACATACGTGTATGATCTGCACTAAAACCATCCACTGTGCCTCATCACATCAAAGCGACACTATGGACCGTGCCCTTTGTGGTGCATATTTTCCTCTCTTCTCTGTGCTCATATTCCTTGATCTCTCCGGCTACCTTTTGAACCCTTTTCCAGGAACCTGCTGCTGCTGGGCCCCACGCCTCCAGCCGCTGTCCTGACAACCATTTCCACCAGGAAACCTCCAGCCTCTGTTCTCAAAAGTGGTTTGTTTGCATATCATAAGAACCTCAAAACAAACCAGCCTTTAACATATTTCTGATTCTGTGACTATTTTTGAAAGATGTTTTAAAAATAATAACTATTCCAAAATATATCAGATAATTTAAGCAATAATCTAAAGTTTGATGCAAAGAAAATATTTGTATAGGGAGAGAGAGCCTTGTACAATTAGCCTACTGGTCTAACCGGTTATGTAAGAATGCACTAAATGGACGCACTGCACTTGTTTCAACAAGACTTCCCTCCATTCTGTCCACTTACAACCGTGTGCTGCAACTCAGTGGCTGTGCTTGTTCTCTGTTCCCTGCTACCGACATCAACACGTAACTCTCCGGGCATTGTTAGGAGATTTAAGGCCAGGCCCGGCCACTTCAGTCTCCTGGGATAAAACAGGTTTCCAAACAGCAGCAACACTCCAGCTCAGTCATGAATGAACACGTCCACAGGCTGCCAGCGTTTGTACAAGCAGGCCAAACATGCGGGACATATTTGTTACAGTATGAGCCCGGAATTATCTCCTTAGGAGAGCTTGTGTAAGTCTGGTGATTTGTTTCTATTTACTTGCAACTTGTTGGACAGAAATTTGAATAAGACGCATTAGCTACAGGCAGCATGATCATTATATATATATATATATATATATACACACACACACACACACACACATACATACACACACATACATACATATATACTCACATATATACACATGCACATCTATATTCATATACATGTTTTTTTTAATTCAATATCATACATATGTGCATTTAATCATTGTATTTATGCTCTGGGTTTTGCCCTTAAATTGGAATTTCCCGTATGAAAAAGAAAGTCAAAAGAAATAGCAATAAACAGAATGAACATTTAAAGCAAGATGGTGGAACAGTGTCATTTCCTTATTTACAACCTATTTTTTGTGGTCATCAGCAGTTAACAGCATCCTCACAGAGCTAAACCATACAACAGTATCAGACCTACAAACTGCCATCCCTGAGAAATGTGTCAAACATTTGCTAAAAACTAGTTAAAAAGCACCACACGGGCCGTGTGAGGCTGTTCTGTTTCACAAGGTTAAGTAACCAGCATCAACCAGAGCTTTCTTCAGCAGTTGGCAAACACCCGACTGTCTAAAACTAAATCATCAACAAAGACTTCGTAGTTTGGGTTTTTGTTCTGTAGCCGACAAAGCCAGCAGGCCTTGGGTCACCTGGGATTTCAGAGGAAGCTCTAACTGGTTTTCCCCCACTGTGGGACAGCTGAAAGCATTTCTCCAACTGTTAATACAGTTTAAAAGTGAGCTCTGTTTTCAATTTTAAAACGGCTAATAATGGACATAATTGAGTTATTTTGCATTTCCGATGAGGGAAAAAAAATCATACAGAAAAGTCAAAGAATGAATTTAATTGAATCAAATATTAGCTGAAAGGGGTTGACAATGTTTTTTTTAAATGGCAAACCTTCAGTCTCTGACATACACAAAAATACACCCGTGTTTGATCATGTCAAATGTAAATAACAAGCACCCCAAAGGTGTGGATAATACTTTATGTCTCCCCTAAAGAACAGATTCCAGTAAACATCAGAACAGACTAATTTATTTTAGAAAATATATTTTTTAAAAACATGCTATAAAAATAATCTCCTTATACTAAATTATTATTTTCTCTTAAGTGAACCAAATCCGTCTCTTAAAGTTTCAACTTAAACTTTCCAGTTAATATGAATTAACAAAATTATCATTATCCACATTTCAAAGACTTCACAGTAAAACTCAACACCAGCAGCTTTTAGCCACCAAAAACTTCTCCATTGTGACGATGAATCCGACGTTCAAAACCAAAAGTGCTCAAAGTTGAAAGAAAAGTGGGGAAACACACTAATTTTTATGCTTTTAGAGAAAAGGACGACGTGTGAAACACCATCAGGGTTTTTTTGTGACCAAAAAAAAGAAACTGCCATTTATCACATCTGTTTGTCCACAGCTGGCTGACTCACTGTAACTCACAGTGTAACTCACAGTGTAACTCACAGTGTAACTCACAGTGTAACTCACA